TAAAATAACAGCTGTGAAACATCTATGAAATTATTTCTCAAAGATGTATTGCGTAAATTATGATGAAGTATTTAGTTATTTAAATCGCTATTTCAGCATTTGTTAATCGCTATGAACTGCTTCATAAAGTCAATAAAGTGCACTTTAGTAACCATGATCATGCTACTAAACTATTAATACAACTCTTTTTTTCACACAAAAATATTGTTAGATATTATTTGCAAAAGAATTTTAATACTTATATATACGCGGAAATAAACTACCTGTCAAGTTGTACCAGAATCCTAGAAGCAATAAAGGGATGTGCTAATCAATAAAATTCAATATTCGCGTATCGAATTGTTACGTTATGTCACTCAATTGAAAATATTAAATTGAGGGTAAGAGAGAGAGAGTTAATTCGTTTGTCGAGCAATGTTACTATCAACCAGGAAGAAGAAAACCAAAATATTTAAAAAATATTTCTAGAATATACTCGACAATCAGTGGCATTTATCGTAGAAACTTATCGCGTATGTTGTGTTAAACAGTACGTACTTTGCTGGAAGTTTATATAAATATCCATGACCTTCATCGCTCCACAGAATGACCCTATCAGCCGCCAAGAAATCACCTGCCATCCAACGTTCGCCACGTGGGGCAGTTATCGAGCAAAGAACCGAGAAATCACCAGCATCAAATATCTATAAAATTATTCCAATTATATATATTGCAGTGTCAAGGCAACTTTTGATTACATTACAGATGATTAACATAAAACATTTTAAAAAACTTAATGCTGAAATTCTATTCTTGAAATTATTTAATCTGATTTGATGTAATCCCTAATCTAATTTTTATAATAAAACTAAAAGTCTAATTATATATTTGATGGTAAGTACAATAGTAATTACCTGCCAATACTTAGAGCATACAATCAGTACTGTTCTCTGATTATAGGGGCAGCAAGTCATCGCAAGTGCATTCAAGCAGCGGATCTGTTTGCTTTCATGCTCGTATAAAGGCTCGCTGTTTCGATTTTCGTGTCCCAAAAGCGTCCACACCTTGACTGTGCCCGTTGTCGTCAGAGCCAACACGACATCGTCTTTAAACGAATGGAAGCGCCTGTTGCGCGTTAAATAAATCTAGGAGAGCATTGTAGCAATTTAAGCGATAGGATGTTTCGTTAGGAATTCGAACAGTTTTGTTGTTCGCTAATAATAAAAAATTTGCCAGCTTCCATTAATCAATATAAATATTTGTCAGATTGAATAAAGCAGCTAAAGTAGTGTCACAGGTAATTAAAGATAGCATTAATCTACATAGGTACATAATATGATATTCGTGAAGCGGTAATAATTCTGTATACGTATAGCGTATTACGCGTGCATGCCAGATGTTTTTATGGAGTAGAAAGCGATACACATCAAATTACAGCGAAGTCATGCTTAATTCCAATTATGCAGAAAAATTCTGTGTACTTGATTTATTTGACTTGACTAAGCGAAATCTTATTTTAATGATTAAAAGAATATTAATATATAACAATTATGTTTAATGAATATTGATATTTGCACTTTTCGCGAACTGTCCGTCCTATCCTTAACATTTACTTCAAGGCCTTTATTTGCGATTAGTCTGACTTTATGCGTATAATGATATATTTTATGAATCTACATACAATTAATAAGAAAATGTTGGCTATCAGTATTCTAGTATAGTACATTCTAGCATAACTACTATAAATATAAATAGTGCTATAAAAATTAGAAATTAATTTTAGGGCAAATTACATTTAAAGCTGTGTAAACACTAGCATTTCATCCAAAACTCTCTTATAAATTACAAGGTGGAAAAAGGGATAGAAAAAAATATTCTTCAATTATTAAATAATTTGTTTGTTCTGTTTGAAGAAGTATTCAATATGATTTAAAACATTAACTATATGTTTTTAATTGTCGCAATGATACGGGAGATTAAATTTATCAATAACATAGAGCGTGCAACTTAAATGTGTTGCACGCATATATAGATTATATTATAATATTACATACATACGCATACACAACACACACACACACATACACACACACACACACACACACACAATTTATATACTTACGAATAGAGATAGAAACATAGTACACCAGGTGAAAGTGTTATGAAAGTGTAATGAAATGCAATGTGCATAAATATAGATGACATTCATATATGAGTAACAGGATAGTTTCATGGGTACTATGTTAATATAAAAAGAAGAAAAATGGAACGCGTTAGTATTAATGATTATATTGTTTGATAATGTGCAAAGAGATGTGTGAATCATGATTAAGTAAAGAAAAAAAAAATAAACGAAAGAAGTGATACAGCCTCGATTGCCAACGCATTAGCGCTGACATATGTGTCCGGTTTCATTAACATGCTGCAACAATGTAACTGTTATTAAGTGATCAATCCAAAAATATTAGATATATAAAACTGCTACTATCAAACTAGATATAATATAAATGAATTTACTCGCGCGCGTAAAATTGAGTAATAGATTATAAAAAAATAATAGCTCGATATATTAATGAAAAAAAAAAACAATTCCTGTTTATATCCAAAACATAAAGCTTCTTGAGGTTAATTGCTTAATAAAAGAATGGTAAAATAGCAGATTATCCTAAGAAAATCCTAAGAAAATCCTAAATACAAAAGAAACATTTGTACAAGTGCCTCAAATACCATTAGTTGTTTTCAAGTCATACTAGTATAATCATTAATCATTATAAGAATTATTATCCAACTTAATTTCGTTCAAATCAGACACAAAAATCAATCGAAGACACAATTGAAAAGGAGAAACTTTACCGCTAAGTATATCCATAGTTCTTTACTTAAAGTTCTTTAAAATTTAAAAAGGATCACATAAGTTTACAAAATAATGAAATACCAAGAGATACTGTTTCGCGTATTATTGAATTTTTCTTTATGTAAAAAATATTATTGAGTATTAATTATATATAAAAACTATTAGAGAAATAGAAAGAAAATAGTTTTAGATATAGCAATAGATAAAAGATTCAAACCAAATTTTCGCGCTAAACTTTAAAGATAAATTTGTAATTCAAGCTACATTGCGATTTCACTTTATACAGTATCTGTTGGCAATGAAATTGAAGAAGGTAGCTGTTGATGGTATAAAGCGTAGGTGTGATGGAGTGTAACTAACTTGTATGCACGTAGAACCGACCTTTCCGTTTGGCCGGCCGCAAAACGTGCAAGGCACTAATCCAATCTGGATTGACGCGGGAGCTCAGGGTAAACAGCACTTCTAAACTGAACGGATCCATCACTAAAACCTCGGGATAGTATCTGAAATGAAAAAAAAAAGATGTATATATCCTTGTATTCTTGATAAATGCGATATTAATATATATTACTAATGTTATTTCTACCCAGAGCAAAATAATCTGACATCCTCTCCACCTGCGGAAACATAGGGCAACATTTGTGTATGAACGCTATTAAGCTTCACTGCCTCGCGACACTTTCCATCGACTAGATCCCAAGTGCACATTTCTCCACTTTCGCTGCTACTGACGATAAAATTTTGTTCCATTACAACACTAGCTCGACTGAGACACATTATTGGAGCAGTATGTCCAACCAGCAGGCATCTTGGAGTCATCTATATTAAAAATCATTTTAACAAATCAATAATAAATAAAAGATTAAGGTTTCTGCAACTTTATTATCTATTCTGTATACCTTTAATGTTTCTGGATCCACTTGCCACAGACATATTTGTCCATCATAACATCCTGTTACCAAAGTCTTTTGATCCCGAGACAAGTAGACACAAGAAATACAATGGGTTGGTGCTATGCGTCCCCACAGCACTATGGGCACCACTAAACTGGTTCCTGCGGTCATCTTTGCAGACAATCTGAAAATAATTATACCATAATGCAATAAATAAAATCTATATATTTTATTATTCAATGCTAGTGTTTCTGAAATCAACCAAACTAACCAAAACATAACTTTGTCACAAACCAGAAAGTAAATATATGATTCAATACGAAAGAGTTGGCTTGGAAAATTAAATGTCAGAGTAATTGTTTCAAAGTAAATGTACTGTCAGTCACATATCTCTGGACTGTCAATCAGAATAAATGTCCAAAGCAGAAAAGATAATTTCCAGCAGTAGATTACATTCCGAGCTGAAATACACAATTGTAATATTGATATCAAATGGGTAAAGATAACCGCGCAATTACAATGATAAACTTGACAACTACAACTACCTGACGCGATGCGTCAAATGTAAAACTGGTGAGGTGAAACCAATTGGCGTAAGATCACGGGATGCGTTTGACGTGACGAGTTGATAAACATGAAATCAGATTTATTGAATTTATTCGAAATCATTAAACTCGCAAAGGGGACTGATTGAGAGCGATTAGAGGCGTCTGCTACATCACGGTAAAATGTCACAAGGTGCTGTTGCAGCTGACGACAAGGTATGCATATACTATGTATATCTTCGAGAAACTGACAATAATCGCATGTATATGAAATCAGACAGGGAAATAATTACCGCGAATCAATCAAGTATCGCTGACAACCTGTTGAAATGTCACAGTTGGCGATATCTATCGAAAATCGCCTAATCCTTACTGCATTTTCGCAATCATCACTAACGACAGTGATGAATTCACTGATGATCACTAATCATTACCAAGTACCACAAGTACCAAGAGTGACAAGAGATATCAAGACTTATCGACTGACTGTCGAGGGGCAAGGACGACGTCATTGATCGGACAGTGGCGACAGTGCGATTGAGAGCAATCAGCTGTTTCGTCTCGAAAGTCCCTACAATTGTTCCTACAATTGAACTATAGATAGCTGTTTGCTTGAATCCCCAAAAATGTTTTAACTTAAAATAAGATAAATACATATTTGGGCATTGAAAAGATAGAAAGCGAAGATGCTGAATATAAAAAGTACAAACAACGTGAATAGATGCAATTGGATAACATGATGTCTCAATGCGATTGGCCAATGGACTAATCAGCCGATTAAAGCCCGTAAATCATTAGCAACGAATGGCGGACGTTGTATGACGAATGTCGTAGTGTGAATCCTACATTTTAAGTGATTACAAGTTGGGTTCGTTCGGAGCAATCCCGAGCAGCTCCCGAGAGAACAAAACGAACAATACTTAAGTAAACATGGTTATGGGGTCTATTCTTTGTGACTGAACTGGGCTGAACTAATGCACTTTTGGAATTTAAAGTGAGATAGGTATATATTTAATATTTAGCGAAAACACAAAAAAGAGAATTCTGGTGCAGTTTAGTGCAGTAATAAAAAAAAACAGATATAAATGGTATGGATCATTTATTGAGTGTGATAAATGCGCTTTCTCTTTAACCTGTCTGCACGTAAGTAAATCCTGCAGTTTTCCCTTACATACATCTTATAACAGTTCGCAATTTGTCTCCACTACAATTATGCAGCTTGAGCTTGTTTAAGCTTTCAAAGATTGAAAAATTTTTGTAAGGCAATATCTTTGTCAGAATTCACCGCAAGCAGCAACGAGTGTTGCATCATTATTTATTTTTGGAAAGTGCGATCGACTTTAAACGCATATTTAATTTTACGTTACTCACGAATCTACATTTTCAATAAAGTTTTTATGTTACTCTTTAACAGGGTTGGTCAATGATATGTTACTTTATTGATCGTTGCCTTGTTATAATAACGATTTTTTAATGACTTTGAATTTTTTATGACGGTAACATCAGAGTTAGAAAAGTCAATCGTTACTTGTAACAGATTGAAAAAGTCATTTATTACTAAAAAAAAACTACTAATTTGTAACACGTTACCTTTTACTTGTAACGTTACACGTTACTTATTAATTTTTGTCAGTAAATAACGCGTATTGATGACGAATTACTTTTCAAAGTGACTCTTCTATCTTAAGTACAACCTTAGTGTTTAGTTAATTAACGTTACTGTCATAAAAAATTGCAACATCATCATCAAATCATTTATTATAAAAAGTAATGGCAAAGTAATTGAAAAGTAACATTTGCCAACCCTGCTCTTTAATTAGTTTTTATTATTTATACTCGTCGCATAAGGCAGCTGTTTTGATTCTGGCCAGAGCAACTCTGTAATAGGAGTTGAGGTCATTTTCTCTCTAAGAAGAATCTTACTTTGCCTTATATCCATTTCCACCAACGTAGATTAAGTTTAATCTCGGTTCAACTTACTTTTTGTCTTTTTCTTATCTTTATAATTGGGAGAATAAATTGAATCGAGATTAAATTTAATCTACATTGGTGGAAACAGGCATTAGTAAACTTAAAGATTAGAGTTTAGATTGACGAAAAACATCCCGCTTGTAAAAGTTAAAAATGATTTTTGCAGACAGTATTTCAGAAGTGCTTACAGTTCTATAGTAATATTATATAGTTACAAATAAAGTTTCATATGTTGATGTTTTATCAATACATAGAACTTTATTTATATTCTTTCTCTAATAGATTAAACTGCTAGTAGGTTAATTTATACTTGTTCAATTCTTTACAAAAATTTACACAGCTTAGATGACCTTGACTTTGACATATGTTGTTGAGCTAGGTCACCTAAGGTTAAGGTCATTATCCGAGCTATGTAAGTTTTTTGTAATGAATTACCCAATTATCTATTTACAACAAAGAATTAGAACAAATGTTTAAGTAAAAATATTTTATAGAAAATGTCTTGGCTCTTTGGCAAAAAGAAACACAAGGATTCACCTCCTGAAAGGGATGAGCAAGAGGAACAACCTTCCACAGATCTAGGAGATGAATTCATAGTAATTGAAAGAAGAAGGCCCTCCTTGCCACCTAATGTTGGTGATCACAATACTCCTTATCCTAATAGATTATATCCATTTATTGATGGAACGGCAATGAACCCTACAATATCAGATGGTAATTTACCAAAACTGACTCAACAACTTGATGCTCCACATTATCTAAGTGATGTACCATTTAAGTTATGTAAACAGTTGCAAAGTAACATGAATAGTGATTTGGAGATAGACAGTCTACGAATTAGCGAAATAATGTCTTTCATTGAAAGATTAGAGAATCAGAATTACAATTATGATTTCTCTCTTGAAACTGGAGTTATTACAGAAATGGATAGCAGAACTACCGACTAACTTGAAACTTTTTTGAGTCTTATTTTTATATACGTAATGAGAAATATGTAAATTTTACAAATCAAACTTATAGCCTGTAAGAATTACACTGACTTGGGTTGGATTAATGATTGCATTGCTTTCCTATTGGTAGAATATGATAGAGCATTAAATTCAACCCAAGTATAAACTCGCTCAGTTGAAAATGCTATTCGATGTATACATATGTATCTTTTAATTATATACACATATAATAAAATTCATTTTAAAACAAATATCGCATAGTATACTAATGCTATAGTATAGTGATGCGCAATCTGCGGCCTATTTGTGGTCCTCTGATTTACAACCAAAAATATAAAATCATATTTTCTATTTTATGCAAACGAAATAAACGTGAAAATGTTCCTTTGAAGGTAGCCCTTAAAAAAAGGTTGTGTATCACTGCTATAGAAAACGTAGTAGTTAAATTTCATCTTTCTATTCTACACAGGCATTTTTTCGAAAATGATCGTATTTTTCATATAAGAACAAATAGAAACGTGACATTTTAAATAGTTACAAGAATAATTAATACACGAATATTTAATTTTTAATAAGAAAATTAGTTTGTAGACTTGAATTGTAAAAAAAAAGAACTAGTTAAAATTTACATATATATATTACATATATATATATTTTTACATATATTTTATATTTAAGTTGCACATAAGGAAAAGTGTCATTGCCATTATTGCTACAATACTACACATATAATTAAAGCCTATATTTGATTTTACATGTTTTATTAAAAAGAAATGCTTTAAAAAGAAGACAGTTGTATCGATTATATAGTCGCGTATAAAAGAAAATGTAGAAAATAGTGTAAAAAAATGTGTAAAAGAAAATAGTAAAGATTAATTTTTTAAGGATACACAATATAATGTTATGAGAAGCCATATATAGATGCCAGATATAGCTGTATATCTTAAACTTAATTTTACTACATAACGCTTACTTAGTTAATGTAAATGTGCATTTTAAGTTGTAAAAATTAAATAAATTATATTTACATGCGACAAATGTAGGTAGATGTTATATTTACTAATAAAACATGACATGGTTCCCTTCAAAAGTTTTTTGGACATACGAAATTCTTTATAACTAATATCTGTACCTGAAGTTGCAATAAAAAAAACTGCTATTTCAGAAAAGCTATATTTATATATAAAGATGTTTTTATTTTTATGTTAAATTCTCATAAGAGAGATATTTAAAGAAAAGATTATATATCTTAAATATAGAATTATATATTAAATTGACATATTAAATCTGTAATTATAAATTTATTATATATATAGCTGCTTTAATAAAAAAAAGTGACAATTAAAAAATTTGTTTAGAGTGCAGTATTCGAATTTACAAAAAATTCTGACATAATTTTAAATATATATAATTGAAAGTATAATAGAAGTATATGTATAATTGAAAGTATGGTAACATGGTGAAAAATGAAATTATGCGTTATCTTAATTAAAAATTTGGAAATTAAAACATGCTCTACTGAAAAATTACTAATTTTGAGATATCCTACTTTTCTATTAAAGCAGTGATATATATGTAATTTATATATATAAAAGTTTTATATATATAAATTAATATACACATAAACTTAACACTAGTAAAATTGTAACAAGTACGCAGAAAGGTAACCAGGTCTTAAGAAAACTCAGAATACTGAAATGAACATAATAAATAATTAGTAATAATAGAAATTACATACATAATTTCTTTTTTCACATACATTTTGTTTTTACCTGACGTATTTCCCATGAAGTAACATGAGTAATGCAAGTTTTACCATATTCCAACTGTTTGAGTTACCATACGACATCAAATTCAAAGCTTTTGCCACATGTGAGTGGCAATTATCACAGCATAAATTATGCTGTAAAAAAGTTAATTTTGCATTGCAAACATAAGAGCTTTTTCTATCTTCTCATTTCGTTACCATTCTGGTTTTATAAATTTCGCTTGCTTCTGCCACACCAGCATCCCATCCTTGTATGCCTCCTTTGGCTTTGGTATAATCAAGCTGCCAATATTTGGTAGGTTTACCAAATGCCATGTTGTCTTCAGAAACATAATAAGGACCAGCAAAATCTCTTATTACTCCTGTTGATGTCGCAATGCCCATGTGTCCAATAAAAGGTAGAATGTATCTTGAAAAAATAAAGTAAATTATATTAACTATATAAACTCCATAACTTATTTAGCATGATTAATCTTGACTTAAATGAAAAATTCGTATATTTCACGAATTATTTTCACATTTTATGATTAATGTCAATGTACATTAATAAACATTATTAATCTGACAAATATCAAACATGTAGAATCGAGGTTATGATAAAAACACATTTAGAATAACTTACGTTAGAATGGGTAACGGAGTCCAAACGACACAGAAAGGAAATCTTTGTCTTTCCGGGTGGATATTGAGATCCATCTCGAGCGAACCATTTGACAACTCTAGAATATCTGTCAATAGATCAGGATCTCTCATAATTCGCTAATGCAATCAATGCAACGCAGAGCCCCAAACATGTGAAGAGAAACCCAGGGCCTCTATTGGTCTATTCTTGAAAACTGTCGCATACGTGAAAACTATGGAAATACTACAATATACGTTACATATATTATAGCGAAAAAATCTGAGAGAGAAAGAGGACGTGTATGAGTGAGAGAGACGGCC